AGACTTGAAAGTAACTATCAAAAGAAAATACTATACAAAATTAATAAAAGAGAAAATTATTTAATTAAAACACCCCTTCTTTAATAATTCTTTTTCTGTTATAATAGTTTTACTTATTGAATAGATTATAAATTATTTGGTTATACTAATAGTTTTGATTTTTAGAATATTAAGAATGGGATTGGGTAATACTATTTCAATTAATAACATTCAGTTAGGTTGAATTAGAGAATAAAAATATTAGTACAACACTTTTTCACAGTATTAAGGTTATTAAATGAATATTTTTTTATGATTATACATAATTTTGATTATTTTTATTTAAAACTATTTGTTTCACATCTCCATCAAATTATTGAAATAGACTGATGAAATATTTATTTTCGTTCTTTGCTCTATAACCATCTTCTTTCAAACAATGAGAAATTAAAAATATATAATCTAAACTATAAGACTAACAACTCACAGTAGAATAAATGTCAAACGTTTATTCTATAATAACTATTACCTTTTTTGAATAACACATCTTAGTTATATCTCATTGAAATAAATGGATAGATAATAAAAAAATATCTTTAATTAAGAAAGTTAAATTTTTATAAAGAAAGAAGTGGCTGTGTTTCCATAAAAAAATAGTTTACTGTTAAGGTTTTGAAGGATGGGTAAATAAAAATAGTTCAGTGCATAATCATAATTAAGAAAAGAAGATACAAAAAAGAATGTTAGAAAAATTAAAACCCTTTTAAATTATACAAAGTTATTTAACATTTTTTGTTAAAATCAGATATAATCTTATTTATTTGTACTATCATCAAAATCTAATTGCAAAACAACTTATTAGAGGACTACTAATAGTTGTTCATACAACAACATAAATTAAAAATTGACAAATAGACGTTCTACTAAAAAAGAGAAAAATCTTTAAGAAAAATGTAAAATTAATCAACAACATCCTCCTTCTTTTTTCTCTGGAGATGTTGTTTCAATGTTGATGCTCCCTGATGGAGTATTGTTTACTTCTTTCATAGACTGTACAACTTTAGTGGCAACATCTAAGAAAGCAGTATCAACTTGAGCACCAGTCTTAGCAGATGTTTCATACAAAGGAATATTACCATTATTTTCACACCATTGTTTTACATCAGAAACAGATACAACATGTTTGGATGGGTCTTCGTCCATTTTGTTGATTAAAACAACAAAAGGGAAGTCATTAGGATTAGTAACATTAGCACCATTGAGGAATTCTTTTTTCCAAGTATCAAGTGATTTGAAGGAAGCTTCATTTGTAACATCTAAAACTAAAAGACAACAATCACTACCACGGTAAAATGCAGCACCAAAACTCATGAACTTTTCATGTCCAGCTAATGAATTAATCATAACTCTAGTCCTAAATTAAAAAAAATAATAAGAACTAAAAGACACAAACCAGTGTCCCAAATTTGGAGTGTAGTAGCAGTTCCATTAATTGTAACTTCTTTTGTAAGGAAATCAGCTCCAATAGTTGCTTTATATTGTGCTGTGAATGTCTTTTCAATAAACTGATTCATGAGGGAAGACTTTCCAACTCCAGAATCACCAATGAGAATCATTTTTAACAGAACTTTCTTGTGATTTTTATTTGACATGTCTTTCTCTTTTTATCAGTTCATTTTTTTTAGTTCAGATTCGAGATTTTTCCCATTCATTCTTTTTAACTTAAAATATATTTGTGTAACACCAAACAACAAAATATTGTTATTTAATAAAACAAAAAAGAATTAAAGTATAAATAAAAGATAATTGATAATATAACTATTAGTTTTTAATAATGTAAAGAATAAGAATGATGATCACTTACTATGAAACAAGAAAATCTTATGTACCAAATCAATACAACAAAAATTTATTAATAAAAAGTGTTTAATTCTGTTTTTTTATAGACAAGTTAATACTCAATTGATGTGAGATAAAAATGAACATTCAATTATATAAAATAAATTACATGATATTCTTCACCTTATTACTATTTATTACTTTCATTTATCAACTTTATTTTATTGTTGAAGAAAATAAGCATTAAGAAAGATATAAACATACTAAATTTATTAAACTAATATACTTTAAATTAAATTTATTATCACTTCATTAAGTGAAAGACTATACCAATCATTAGATGATTACTTTATCTATTTATTCAATTATCTAAAATAGTTTATTTCTAATAATTATATTATAACATTCATTTTCTAAACATATTTAAAAAAATCATTGATGAACCATTTCTTTATTATATTAAATTTCATTTTACTTTTGTTAAGTCTAATACTTTTACTTATTTACTTTTGTCAGTCAATTTATTGATAATATTAAAATAAACATTTTTATATGTTTATATTTATTTTTGAATTTACAAATTAAAATATCAATTAGTATATAATTATTGTTTTAATAGTTGTCTTATCTTCTATTACATTTGGTTATGAATCATTAAATCATTATTATAAATTACAATACTAATACTATTCTACTTATTTCTTATTGACAGTTATTTTTATTTTCAATATGACTTAGATTTATCAATAAACTAATATTTAAATGGTTAGTAGATACTTCTTATAAATAAATTTATTATTTTATTCTATTATTCGTTATAAAAAATAACATCCTCACAATATTATATTACTAATACCCTCAATATCTTCTAATTCTGTTTATAAGTGTTTTAATTTCTTCATGAATTTTTTTCCAAAACTGTTAGTTTTGTACTATGTTCTATAATTTTTTGTTTCTAATTAGTTTTGTTCTTCATCATTTATTTTGATATTATTTATATATTCTTTGTGCCTAATTGTGAGATTTCACTCATTATGACAATATCTTTTTTGTTTCTTGAAACTGAACAAAAAAATATGATTGTCAGTTACTACAGTTTTTATGGTGATAATTCTTATATGAAAATTATGTTATGTCCATATACATAACACTTATTCACAATCATTCTTCTGTATTAAGATTTGTTGATTGGTATTAATTTACCTTTTTCTATGATGAGTTTTTGGTAGTTATTTTATTAAAATACATAAAAATATCCTGAGAGAAGGAAACAAAGTATAATGCAACAAAAATTAATAATGATTTACTTATCGTCATCACGTTTTTTGGACATAACAATCATAAGTTTAGCAAGGTACATAAACAAGTCAAAAGCGTCCACAAAGAGAGTCCAAGCAAGAATGAATGGGTCATCAACCCCAGCTTCAATTGCCCTAATAATTGACTGAGTATCTATTATTAGGAATAGAATTGACATAATTACTGAAACTGAAATAAAAATGTAAGCAGCAGTAAGTCCCCAAGAAAATACGTACCATATAGTTAAAGGAATATATACAATTGAAGAGATAATACCCATAAAAGTATATAATAATGTTAATTCTGTTGTGAGAAGAGAGACAATTGTAGTTGATACAAAAGCAAGAGTAGTGGCAAGTGCACAAAACACAATTTCACTACAATCAAGACCATGAGAAATACAAAATGCACCAGCACCAAATCCAGCTGTAAGAGCACTAAAAGACATTAAACAAACCTTTAACTTTGGTGATTGAGTACAACACATAATAATTGTTGGAAAAACTCCAATTAAAGAAATCAATGAACTCAAAACAATAGGAATATATAAACTTCCAACTAACCCAAGAGCAAAGAGCACAAAGCAACATGAAACTATCAAATATGCTTGAGATAAAATCTTTGAAGTTTTAGCGTCTATTCTCATTTCAACTAACTTTTTAGATTAGATTTTCTATTTATTATAAATTATTTTATATTATTATTATATTTTTACTTATTTTATGATTTAAAATTTTTTAAAAATCACCGTTTTTATTATTTAGTGATGAATTTTCCTAAAACTTCAATTGAAATAAAGTTATAAAATATGCTTCAATACTATTATTATAA